GGAGGAGGAGGAGGAGGAGGAGGAGGAGGAGGTGGAGGAGGAGAAAAGAGGCTTTGAATTTTCCCTTCTTCTGCTTCAAGTGCCAATCCTCTTGGGACACCTGAGCCTGCTATGCCAACCGAACTCCCCCACATGGTGGGAATGCATGACATCTCCGACTTCCCCTCCTCGCTGACAGCACGGCTTCTCCACAAGGGCCCAGAGTACCTTCGCAAGCAGATGGAGGCAGCCAACCCCAGCAGGAAGAGCGCCGTGGAAAGGCTGGCGGCAGATAAGGCCAAGTACGTGAAAAGCCAGCAAGTCATCAGCAGGAAGCAGGTGCCGGCCATCTCCCCCAGCTCGGCCTCTGAGAGCAGCAGCAGCAGCAGCAGCAGCGAGACTTGCTCAGAGGGAAGCAAGAAGGCCGGGCTCCCAAGGGAGGAGAAGGGCCCGGCGGCCACAGAGCTCAGCCCAGCAGCCCCGCAAGGCGGCCCTCCCATTGTGAGGCGCAACAGTGGTAAGCGGCAGATCCGACCAGATTCCTTGGTGATCTATCGTCAGAAATGTGAATTCGTCCGAGGCCAAAGCCAGGAGAATCCTCGTGGAAGTTTGGTCCGGAGGCTCTTCCAGGGTCCCTTCAAGGAAAAGCAGCCGGTCTCTGAGGTGTCCAAGGTTGTCCTCAAGGAGGAAACCACCCCTGAAGTGGAAGGGACTCTTTTGGGCAAAGACACGGGACACAGCCATGAACTAGAAGGACAGAATTCACCCGCAAAGGCAAGCCCAATGCCCTTCCCGGCCAGCAGATGCAAAAATGCCCTAAAGGGCCCTTCACCCCCTTACGATGCAAAGGAGATGAGGCAGAAGGGTCTCCAGAGATCTCAATCGGACATCAGTTCGCGATATTCAAAGTCCTTCTCTGAATTTGAGACATTCTTTAAGAACTGTGGCCTTGAACCTGAAGTAATAAAAGATTTGGGCCAAGAGAATTTTTCGGTGGCTTCAGACAACCTCTCCTTCCATCTGCACAGCATCAACGGGGCAGCGTCTGAAAGTGACTTCACGAGGCCCAGCGATGAGGAGGGACCCCTGGAGGAAGGGCTCCCGGAACAGGCCCCCAGCGGCACCTCTGTGGTTGAACGCAACGCTCGGATAATCAAGTGGCTGTACATGTGCAAGAAAGCCAGAGAGGCTCATGTGGTGGTGCAAGGCTTGGCCTAAGGATTGCTGCCTTCACAGGGACCCCCAGGTCAGTGTAACACATGTGCAAAGTGTATCCGTCCACCTTTGATGTGCACAGCTGTGAATATACAGAAGAAGGTTCTCTCCTCTTTAGCTCTCTAGCACCATGGAGTAGGAGATGGGGAAACCTACAATTTGTCTTTAATATAATATTTAATATGTAAAGGATTATGGGCATAGCATATGGTACCAGTGTTGATACTAATTCTTTCCGTTTGGGCTTTCCGTAATTTTATCACGGTGATAAATGATTCCAGAAAGTTATAGCTGGTGGTGGTTGTTTTTAATGAAAGATTCCACTGTTTGAGCTGCTTTTAGAAAATCATGGACTTTGCTAAGGAGAAATGAGAACCACCAAAGAAATTTAAAGTCAATATTGACACACATCGTGTCCGCCCTCTGACTGGAAAGCAGCTTATTTCCAGCAGGTTGGGCCATGATAACAAAAAGCCATTTGCTCAAGCCTTCGTTTCATCTAATTAAGATAAACTGGCACACATTTTGTCCTTTGCCGATGTCAACCTTGTCATCCCTCTACTTTCCTTTTTCTTATTTATCCCCTTTTAAGTTACAGTGGGGGGGGGCATTTGTGGGCCTCCCTTTTCCCCGCTTTTACTTCATTTGATATTAACAAGCGCTAAGCCTTCCTCTGACGTCACAAGGTAACAGGCTGTGCAGCCATTTCCTGGCATTTCTCCCTTTTCCATTCCGTTGCTGCTTCATTGCTTTTCACCTCACCTTGACTGAGGTTGGTTCAGGCTGGTGCAAAAAGGAGGACTGAAATATCCAGGCTGCAAATTTTCTTCAGGGTTGTTGCTTCAGCTGGTGCCCCTATGAATCTAAAAGGTTCCCAGACAAACAGGAAATGAAAGTGTGATGTGGTGCAGGCTTGGGCACCGTTTCCTAGGAAGTAGGATACAGGGCATCAATAGGATTTCCTTTTCACCAAATATACTTAGCACTTGGACTTTGCAATGGCTTTTTAAAAAGAGCACTTACTAAAAGGTTGTTTAAGAGTTAGAATATCCATTCGCAAACTCGAACCTTTGATACACAATTTCTCTGGCAACTTCTCTGCCCTTCACTGAACTCTAAGCACTGACTTAGGATTTAACAACTGGTACATCAAGAGGGGGGGGGGGGAAATCAAGCAGTTTCAATCAATCGTAACAGGTCAATGATCACAAATATCAGATAGAATACCTTGTATAATTGAAATAAATTGAAATTAAGAGGTTTACACTCCCTGAAGGAAGTGGGCTATTGTGCATGGGACGCTTTGCATGGGTTGTGACTATCCTACTCTTCAACCGCTAGGGATGAGCTCGTGTTTTTCTAACTGGTGCTTACTGGAAATACACTGCCTGACTGGTTCTCCCAAATGCAGTCATCAAATGTTGATACCACTTCAGCAGAGCTGTTTCTGGTTAAACATACTGAGATTAAATAACTTAGTTTACCAAATAAACTTGCAAAGTAAGAGACATCCGTTCACATCTTTTGGCCAAGAGGGACCAATCAGTTGATGCCCCCTTGAGCCACACTGAATTTAGCCATAACAATCTGTTCAGATGCTAGGCACATCATAAAATACAATACCAGCAAACATATTTATGTAAAAATAGTGAAATAAAGGTAATGTGCATTATAAGCAATCACGTCCTACCTAAATCTTTGGAAGGGCAACTGTGTTGGTCAGGATCCCTCCAAGATAACATGCTACTCGAAGGAAGTCTCAGATGGCATTTCCTCTGGAAACTGACCAAGCGATGTTGGCATGAAGCAGAAATGCCTGGTAGAGAAGTAATAACTAAGCAAATAATGAATAATTTGCTGCTCTGTTCAAGGAGGTTATCTCATTGCCTAATTATAAGTTGTCTAGAGCCATCTTAGCTTGAGGAATTTACATTCAATTAAGACATGATAATGTTTTTTTCATGAAGAAATGACCCCATAGAGTAATGGAAAAGTCTTGGCTGTATCACCTGGAGCGGTTTTGTTTAAAGAGAAAGAGAGAGATTTGATAACATCTGAATAGAAAACCAAGGTCTTAATTATTCACCAGCACTTCATTCTTGGCAGAAGGAAAATAAGTGAAATTTGATTTCTTTGATTTTTTAAAAGCATGACAACATACATCTCGTTAATTTTCTTCACAGGAAAATAGCAGAGTAGATACCTCCACTTAGTTACTTTTCCATTTTTTATCTCAGGAAAGAATAAGCCCATACTAACTCAACATCTACGTATTTGATGATTGTCTCCTATCCGACAGTCTCATGAGCCCAATCTCCTAGACTGGCTATGCGTCAGCCCCAAAAAGACCAAAACTGCTCATTAGCACCATCTACACTAAGTTGTAGGTAATGCAAAGCTCCATATTGGTAAATCCCTAGATATTGATAAAGTTGATAATAACTACCTGGTTTAATCACTGACAAAGAATAAAGTTGGTGAAGAATGAGACCGTCTTTAAATCCAATTTTCTAGCCCAGGGACAGGAGGTGTTTTAGCCTGTGTGTAGCTACCTGAAGGTACCTGCCAGAACAAGTGTATCTNGAGACCATCACAACAGAAAGCCATTATTTTTACTGTTGCCTTTGTTACATTTGTGTTGCATTTGTGCTGATAAATAAAGTCTCCCTTTATTTATTTATTTATCAGCACAAATGCAACACACACACACACACACACACACACACATATACATACATACACACATACACATACACACACACACACACACACACATATCCATTTCATGTGTTCAGCTACCCAAGTGGTCCTGTTCACCATTAAACCATCCTTCCAAAAAGTCTCCATGTGTCCAGTGTCTTTCTCCCCACTTGGAATTGAACCCCAACATGTGCATGGTACAGTAAATTTGATCATTTGTTTCTGAAAACTTTATTCATTCAGTTGCTAATAAATTACTGAGACATTTTTAAAATACCACTTAAAATTGTTATCCACAGTAGGGCTTGTTCAGTAAAAGAAAACTTCATGAGCATCTAATTTTTTACATATTTCAGTCCTCAAAGTGGACAGCTCCAACTTCTTGGTTGTTGCTTTTGAAGACCATGCGTGGCCAAAATTGAGAAGGTTCAGGGCTAAGAGATTTAATTAGACTACCGTAACTTTTTCCTTTAATTCAATCCCTATTTTGCATCTTTTTTAAAAGATACAATGGTTTCATAGCCAATGTTCAAGGGGGTGAGCTCCTGTTACCTGTGGCCCCTGCCAACCTAGCAGTTTGAAAGCATGCAAATGCCGGTAGATAGAAAGGTACGACTTCGGTGGAAAGGTAACAGTGTTCTGTGCACCTTGGCGTAGAGCCATGCTGGCCACATGACTACGAAAAATGTCTTTGAGCAACGCTTGCTCTCTTAGCTACGGAACAGGGATGGACACCGTCTCCCAGAGTTGGATACAATGGGGAAAATCTTTACACTATCTGGACTCATGATTATAATAGTCTTCGATTTACAACAATTTGTTTAGTGACCATTTGAAGTTACAATTGCCCTGAAAAAAGTGAGCATTTTCCATACTTACGACCGTTGCCAGGTCGTAAGTATGCCATCCCCCAGGCCAGGTAATAAAAATGTAGATGCTTGGCAACTGATTCATATTTATGACGGTTGTGGTGTGACCGGGTCACGTGGTTCTTTTTGCAACCTTCTGACCAGCAAAGTCAATGGGGGAGCCTGATTCCCTCAGCAGCCCTGTTCCTAACTTAACAATTGCAGTGACTGAATAACAGAATACTCAAGTTGGAGGAGATCTTGGAGATCTTCTCCGTCCAACTGTGGCGAGAAAGGTCATCAAATGGGGCCAAATTCACTTAACAATATTATTTAGCTACAGAAATTTGTGGATCGATTATGGTCGTAAATCAAGGACTAGCTGTATAAGGGTGAAATGGAATTTTCTCCTGCTGACTGTATATTTGGGCATATGTATCTTTCTGTGGATTCGAACTGCCGAACTGCCGACCTTTCTGATCGACAAGCTCAGCACCTTAGCCACTGAGCCACCGCCTTTACACACCGTGTCCCGGAGTGACCTCCCGTTACTTCTCCCAGCTTCTGCCAACCTCGCAGTTCGAAAGCCTGTAAAAATGCAAGTAGAAAAAATAAGGACCACCTTTGGTGGGAAGGCAACAGCCTTCCGTGTGCCTTCGCCATTTAGTCATGCCGGCCACATGACCACAGAGACAGCTCTGGCTCTTTGGCTTTGAAGTGGAGATGAGCACCGCCCCCTAGAGTCGGGAATGACTAGCACATATGTGCAGGGGGAGCCTTTACCTTTACCTTATCTTTCTGTGGGAGAAAAGACTAATGCAAAGTAAAAGCAAGTAATGGATGCATTCCAAGTCCTACCCCTTCTGTAAATAAACTTTTACAATGAACTACAAAAAAGGCTAACATAGGAAGCATGTCAAGTGTTCCTGGTATTGTGAGGGCCTTCCATCAGATTTGCCCACTTTTTCAAGGACAGGATTCCCCCAAGCACCAAGATCCCACAGGCTCACCTCAAGAAGGCTTCAGAGGAAGCTCCCAAGTAGCCTCCATGAGGCTTACAGAGCGACTGGAAGTTCTGTTCCTCTCTGTCCTTCATGGGAAAGCAGTGACTCTTCGGTCCTTTAAAAGAACGAAGCTTCTTAGAAATTAACCAGTAAGACGAACCATGTGAGATAACAGAGCACTGTTCGTTTTCTTTGGGGATTATGGGGTTCCCTTTTGAAAATTCACTCTACAATATTATGCTATTCTCCGTACAAAGTTCTCTTAACGGGGAGAAGGATTGGGTTCCACCACAGAACCGCGGAGGACAAAATCGCGCTCAACGAAAGCGCGCATTTGACGTCATCACATCGCGNGATATTTGAAGCGGCAAAGCCTTCTTCACTAACCAGTGCTTGACTTCTACCTGATTGAGGGTAGCAGCTTGGAAAGGATGTGGAGAAGAAAATATGTTGATGATTGAAGGGAATGGTGAAGAATT